ATTCTGATTCTATCTAAGAAAAGATGAGTCCCACAGATTTAGCGGAAATGTTAGGGAGGACTTTGAACATTATCTGCGTGGAGCATTTTGAGCCAAATATTTCTATTTCTTAAGAAGCAGAGTGACTCCCATTAATATTTGGGTAACTGAAGGAACAATTATATGTCTGCACTTTGTATTGTCCTGTGGGAACTGCTGTGGCATAAAGTGAAACAAACAGCAAAGAAACAGCAGAACCTGGAGAGTTCTCAAGATAAGCACCAGTTCTGACATCCAATGTCTTCTGTGTCCAGTGCACTAAGGCTGGTCCTTAAAAATTAAATACTAGCAATACTAACAATGGGTCCCCTAATTCATAACAGACCAACATACAAAGGAAGAGTCAACATTTTCCCCCAAGTATTGGAGGTAATGACAGAAAGAAATCATTTGCTAGGAAGGATAAGACAAACACACCACAAAACTTACCCCATCAGTGAATATTATACCCAACTAATGATTTTTCTTTGTGTTGAAAAATATCATTTTCTCAGTATTAGCACCAAGGAAAGCAGAAGCATCTGGATGAAACTGAATTAAAAGTTCTCCTCTACAATATTTAATTGGCATACATGAGTGCATATATATATGACAGTGAGTTGTGTGTGTGTGTGTGTGTATAATGAAGGAAGAAAATATGAAAAGGTTTAACTATTGCCCATGATATTTGATTTGACTGATAATATTTTGTGATATATCTCAAAAAAATGGATGCCTTTTAAATATTAATTCTATAATAGAAATTTAAAGATGAATGATCCTACTCTATGGTTACTGTAATCCACTTATAATATATGTAATTTAATTCTGTGGATGAAATTATGGAAATACAAATTTAACCCAAAACCTATTCTATATTTCAGAAGGGGATAGGCAGAAGTCTATTTCCCCTTAGCACCAACCAAAAAGCACAAGATAAAATAGTTGCATAAGTAGTACCCATAATTCTCAATTATTTTTTGAGCAGTGTTTTTGCAAGTGACAGTTTCCATAGAGTCAAGGTGAGAAAGGAAAAGAGGTAGAATTCAGGGCTGTAGCCTCTATTTTCCATTCAAGGACTAACCTGCAATGTTTCTTCTGTTCAGAGTCATTTGGAGTTGGCTGGACTATGGAAAACTCTGAAAGTTACAGCTGCTGACCCATCCAAGAGAACATAGAACCCCTGACCTGATTGGATGGATTTTCCTACCAGCATTGATGAGACCCATTCTACAATCTTCTTGTGAGTAAAATTTTCTGAGTAGAGGAATTCATATTTCTTTCCCTTAAAAATAAAAAAATTTTTTTAAATTTAACAGCAGACTTAAGAATTTCTCAGGTGTATGAAATATTCCTAGTTAATAAAAACTATGTAATTACTTTCAGTTTACTCTGGAGCCATAGAATTATAATACCTACAAATGTTTGAAATTTATAAAGGAATACACATGTTTCTGCTAATTTATGATTTCTATGGTGTAAAAGTAAGATGTGGGTTTCTGGAGAGGAAATCCTAGACAGGTAGTTTTCCATTTGGCATGATACCTAAAACTTGGTTGGGAACCTGCGTTGTAGAAGGTGAAGAGTAATGCTTCTTCAGGAAAGTTTGCAGCTTCAGTCTTTAAAGTGCCCCATGACAATCCAGCAACTGGTGATGGCTGCGAAAATGTAACACTGGTGACACACTGAATACCAGAAAGCAGAGGAACTTCTGCACTTGCTCTGATGTAGAAGTGGGAGTTTTGATTAATTTCTGTCATTTATTTGAAAGCACAGTATATCAGATGGCACTGGTTTTTATTTTAACTTGGAATTTTCATATTTCCAAATGGGAAAACACTTGTGATAGGATAGTCAATCTGATATGATTGGCAATATATTGATCTGCTAGTCTAAGAAATGGATTCTCTTTACATTAAGGTCACTTAAGTTCACGGGTGTCAATGTCAACAAGAAGAGAAAATTCAATTGTTTGAATTCTCAAAACTGAAGGTTGTAGTTAAAAAGAGACTAATACACTGCTAATGAATTATTTTTATTAGTGATAGATGGGAATGAGTTTTTAATAGAATAGAATATTGAACAATAATTTTGTTTAGTGTAGGTATACTGTGTGTGTAGTGTCATTTTTTTTTCTCAAGTTGCTCTATCAATGGGTGGTAAGAAGACTATTTTTGTGTATGAGTGCAGGAGACAAAATGCAAAGAAGTGCTTCCCCTGCCAGCTCCTAAAGTACCTGCACATTTCTCCATAATGGCAGTCTTCTATTGATATCTTATTTGTTCGTATCTGTGAGCTTCCATTGAGAGATACGTTTTCGTCATCTTTATATCTCTACCAAAACAGAGTACCTGTCTTATTGTATATGATTGTATTTAATATACATTAATATAAACAATGTCTACTGATGTTACCAGAAATGAGATATCTAGGTCTTTAGCTCCTTGACCCTTACATACATCTTTACACTTCTCTTCCTTTCACCTCCCTATCGTACTTCCACGATATGTTCGTTAGATTAATTATATCAGTTATTCTCTTTTGTTAAAAAAAGATGTAGCTCAGCCAAGAGCTGTATTGTGAGTACAATTCCTGTTTCTTATAACGTCTTCATTCTGCAGTTTACAAGTTTATTTTCTGTGGCTTTCTCTAAACCTATCACACACTCAACTTGAAACTCTGAACTGAAACCTCTTCTCAAGATATACAAACATATTAGTAATCCCTGAATTTCATCTAGAAGCTGTCTGTCCCTTTCAGGTTCAGTTTCCCACTGTTACAAGCCTTTGGGAACCTCAACTCCTTGTAGGTTCCACTCACCAGCCTAAAAATATTGTTAGTATCCCCTAACTAATGAACGATTTAATGAAATCGTTCATTAAACGATTGAGCTATCTGTGATAAATTGTTTCCCACTTTTCCGATGAATGGAATCTATTTTTAAAACTGAAAAGCTCTTCTTAAAATCTTTACTTTTAGTTTTTTATTTTTACCTTTTTCATAATTTAGGTAAGTAAATAAACTCTCTTAATGTTTTTAGTTTCCTCATCTAAGTCCTGGGATAATAATAAATGTAAGCTATTTGGGAAAATGCCTGGCTCGTAAAAGTGCCACACACAAAAACTACAGCAGAACTGTATTTCAATCTTCATTGTTTTAAATACATTATCTTATCTTTTACAATAATTGGAAAGAAAACCATTTTTCCTCTCCAGATTCAGATTTCAAATATTCCACTTTTCATTTGTAAAAGTGATTTTATATAATTTTCCACCTTTTTTCTTAGTTAGCATATATCTGAGAAGGCTTAGTTTTACACTAGAGGAATATCCTAAGAGATTGTTCAAGGTGTTTGGGGCAAGATCTTATTATGTACCACAGATGTGATGTTAGAAAAGATTGTCTTTTCTATCCAACTATTTGGATAAATGGATGAGAAAATTGTATGCTGTTACAGTTCTTCCACTTGTTTAAATTCTAGTAAGTACCAGGTATTTTGTGGGGAGTTTTCTGAAGAAGGTAACGCTTTCACTATGGCTTAAAGACTGATAAAGTTAAGAAAATAAATACTCTAAATATTACATAATTTTCACTAAATCCTTTCCATTTAAAGGCAAAAAATATGGCTCAATAGAATGCATTTATTCTAATGGACAGAGTCCATTAGTCTATAAATCAGTCATTAACCTAAGGTTCAAGTGTTCATGACTGATCCATGAAGTGCTCAGAGCAGGATGCAAGTCTGGAGGGTCTCCTAGGCTTGTCTCATTTCTATTTCTAGCTCCTCAGTTGCACATTCAGTCCATGGCCATCAGGACCCTTTTTAGAAGGTAGCTATGCTCTGGAATCCTATGGAGTGTTACTGTTTTAGAGAAGATTAGACTCACAGTAAAATTGAGTAGAACGTACAGAGAGTTCCCATATACCTCCTGCCTCCTCCAAATAAACACACACACAGTATCCCGCATCATCATACACTGTACCAGTGGTGTATTTATTCCAATTGAAGAACCTATACCGGCACTTCGTTATCACCCAAAGTCCATGGTTTTACGTTAGTGTTCACTCTTGGTGTTGTATATTCTGTAGGTTTTGACTGATGTATAGTGAACATGTGGAATCATGTATCCACCTTTATAATATACAGAAGAGTTACACTGCCCTAGAAACCTCTTGTGATCACCTATTCATTAGTACCCCCAGCCTCAACCCTTTGCAACCACTGATTATTTTACTGTCGTCATATTTTTACTTTTTCCAGAATGTCCTATAGTAGGGCTCATGAAGCATGTAGACTTTTCAGATTAGCTTCTTTCACTTAGGGATATGCATTCAAGTATATGTCATGTGTCTTGATGGCTTCATGGCTCATTTCTTTTTAGCACTGAATACTATTCCATTGTCTGGATGTACCAGAATTTCTTTTTCCATTCACCTACCTAAGGACATCTTGGTTGCTTTCAAGTTTTGACAATAATGAGCAAAGCTGCTATAAACATCGCTGTGCAGGTTTTTTTTTTGTTTTTTAATGAATACAGGTTTTCAACTGATTAGGGCAAATACAAAGGAGCATGATTACCGAATTACATGGTAAGAGGATATTTAGTTTTGTAACAAACTGCCTTATTGTCTTTCAGAATGCCTGTACTAGTTTGCATTCCCATCAGCCATGAATCAAAGTTCCTGATTCTCCACATCCTCTCAGTATTCAGTGATGTCCTTGTTTTGGGAATTTGACCATTCTTATACATGTGTTGTGGTATCTCATTGCTATTTTAAAGCCCTTTCCTTTTCAGACATTTTAATTTTTAAAGTTCCCTTCGTTTTCTCTTATCCTATGCCCCTTGAGTGAGTAGCCAGTAGCCAGTCTTTAGTTTTGTTCATTTGTAGTTAAAACAAGCTGTGGTGAGGTTGATTGGAAGGCATGTTGGAACGGGGCCTAAGGATTTTTAATTGTACGAAAGGAGCTCTTAATGCTCAACATGAACCTCAACTCAGAATTTGGGCCTGTTTTCATTTACATTTTTAAAGGTAAATTAAATGATAGAAGGGACATATCCCAGGTAGGGTGTGCTTTTCTTGTGTATCACATAGGAGAGAACCTTTCTTTTTCTTTCTCTTCAGAAACATAGAAATCACACACACTGCAGGACTTCCAGAAATAACTCACCAGCTGAATCTTGAGAGTGAAGAAGCTGGAGATTTGCTGAGGTGTTTGAACTGCTGGGATGATATAAGTATCCCAAAGAACAAGAAATGGTGTTGCCTTAAGGCCAGGATGACAGGTCCAAAGAAGATATTGTGAAGTTATTGGAATATATGGTGAATAACATTCCATCCAATGACAGGCACATGTTCAAAACAACCCAGTCACTGATGGACTGGGAAAAAGTAGCTTTTAAAGATTTTCCTGGGGAAATGTGCAAACTCAAATGGTTAGAAATTTCTTATAACTTTAGAAAGTTTCGCACTTTGAAGGAATTAGTCCTGGAAGCAAAGGAAAATGTTGACAATCCTTACAAATGCAGAAAACACAAGAAGCATCCTGATTTACCCAAGAAGCCCTTGACAGCTTACCTCTGCTTTTTCAAAAAGATACGACTCCAGTACACCCAAAAACACCCTAAGCTGAGCAACCAGGAGTTGACCAAGGTTCTGTCTGAGGAATACAAGAAACTTCCAGAGCAGCTGAAGCTGAAATATAGTCAAGATTTCTAGAAGGAGAAACAGAAGTTTAAGGAGAAAATGACTCTGTTCAGAGAACAGCACCCTGATCTGGTCCAGAGCTCCACGAAATCTGATGTCCCCAAAGGAAGCCAAATCAAAGTGCCAAAGAAGTTTCAGGGAAATGTGCAAAAAGTGGTCTCCCCCAAAAAACAGTTTATTCATGAAAAGCCCAAGAAGCCACCTATGAATGGCTATCACAAGTTCCACCAGGATTTGTGGTTGAGTAGGGAGCTGAAAGGGTTGCCCTGAGGGAGCACATGGTAGAGATTAGTAGATGCTGGCAGCGTGTCCCACAGAACCAGAAGGAGCATTATAAGAAGGAGGCTGAGGAACTGCAGAAACAGTACAAGGTGGACCTTGATCTCTGACTCAAGAGTCTGTCTCCTGAAGAACATGCTTATTACAGAGAGACAACCTATTTGAAGCGTAAGAACATGAACATGATGGGAGGCCCTAATCCCAAGATTAGGAGGATGGATCTGCAGTCCCCATCATCAGGGAATCTGCAGGGAGGGCTTGGACTGGGCCAGGGGCTTCAGGCTCCAGAGACAGAATTATCAGATCTGATTGGAGAATATTTTCCTGCCTCAGGGAGATCAGAGGAAAATAAGGAAGATGAACAAGAGGAGAAAGGCAGCAACTCCTCAGCCCACAGCAGTAGGTGAAGATGAAGATTGTGTCTGAGGACAGTGGCTGCAGCTCATCTACCTCAGGGGAATCCTCTGGCTCAGATTCCAGCTGAGCTTTTTTCACAACCTGAACAAAGAACTTCCCAGCAAAAGGCCATGGCATCTGGGCTTCCCTGGTGGCGCAGTGGTTGAGAGTCCGCCTGCCGATGCAGGGGACACGGGTTCATGCCCCGGTCCCGGAGGATCCCACATGCCGCGGAGCGGCTGGGCCCGTGAGCCATGGCCGCTGAGCCTGCGCATCCGGAGTCTGTGTTCCGCAGCGGGAGAGGCCACAACAGTGAGAGGCCCGCGTACCGCAAAAAAAAAAAAAAAAGGGCCATGGCATCTTCATCAAATGGAAGGGCTCTTCTCCCTGTGCCCTTTCATTGCCTTCCTTCATCAGTGTATACATGTCAAACCCAATCACCCGGTTCATCACCCCCACCCCCGACCGCTTTCCCCCCTTGGTGTCCATAGGATTGTACTCTACATCTGTGTCTCAATTTCTGCTCTGCAAACTTGTTCATTTGTACCATTTTCTAGGTTCCACATATATGCGTTAATACACAATATTTGTTTTACTCTTTCTGACTTACTTCATTCTGTATGATAGTCTCTAGATCCATCCACGTCACTACGAATAACCCAATTTCTTTCCTTTTCATGGCTGAGTAATATTCCATTGCATATATGTATCACAACTTCTTTATCCATTTGTCTGTCGATGGGCATTTAGGTTGCTTCCATGACCTGGCTATTGTAAATAGTGCTGCAATGAACATTGGGGTGCATGTGTCTTTTTGAATTATGGTTTTCTCTGGGTGTATGCCCAGTAGTGGGATTGCTGGATCATATGGTAATTCTATTTTTAGTTCTTTAAGGAACCTCAATACTGTTCTCCATGGTGGCTGTATCAATTTACATTCCCACCAACAGTGCAACAGGGTTACCGTTTCTCCACACCCTCTCCAGCATTTGTTGTTTGTAGATTTACATGTAGCTGTCCAGTTTTCCCACCACCACTTATTGAAGAGACTCTCTTTTCTCCATTGTATATTCTTGCCTCCTTTGTCATAGATTAGGTGGCCATAGGTTCATGGGTTTGTCTCTGGGCTTTCTATCTTGCACCATTGATCTATATTTCTGTTTTTGTGCCAGTAACCATACTATCTTGATTACTGTAGCTGTGTAGTATCATTTGAAGGCAGGGAGCCTGATTCCTCCAGCTCTGTGCTTCTTTCTCAAGATTGCTTTGGCTATTCAGGGTCTTTTGTGTTTCCATACAAAATGTAAAATTTTTTGTTCTAATTCTGTGAAAAATGCCAGTGGTAATTTGATGGGGATTGCATTGAATCTGTAGATTGTTTTAGGTAGGATGGTCATTTTCACAATACTTATTCTGCAATCCAAGAACATGTTATATCTCTCCATCTGTTTGTATCATCTTTGATTTTTTTCATCAGTGTTTTATAGTTTTCTGAGTACATGTCTTTTGCCTCCTTAAGTAGGTTTATTCCCAGCTATTTTATTGTTTTTGCTGTAAGGGTAAATGGGAGTGTTTCCTTAATTTCTCTTTCAGATTTTTCATCATTAATGTATAGGAATGCAAGAAATTTCTGTTTATTAATTTTGTATTCTGCAACCTTACTAAATTCATTGATTAGCTCTAGTAGGCTTCTGGTGGCATCTTTAGGATTTTCTATATATATTATCATGTCATCTACAAACAGTGACAGTTTTACTTCTTTTCCAGTTTGGATACCTTTTATTTCTTTTTCTTCTCTGATTGATGTGGCTAGGACTTCTAAGACTATGTTGAATAATAGTAGTGAAAGTGGACACCCTTTTCTTGTTCCTGATGTTAGAGGAAATGCTTTCAGTTTTTCACCATTGAGAATAATGTTTGCTGTGGGTTTGTCATATATGGCCTTTATTATATTGAGGTAGGTTCCCTCTATGCCCACTTTCACCCTGCAATATTTTAAACACTTTATTTTGAGGATCAAATGTGCGAAACAAATTTACTGAAGAAATGACTTAATATTTTCAGCTTTCATCCCAGATACCAGTTTCCACCTTACATTTTGGTGAGTGTCCATTGAAGTGGCTGTTTCTTTGAGAGGCTTCCTAAGCCAGCCTGAGATGGGACGGGTGGTAGGTGGAGAATACATACACATATGCATACTACATACACACATAATTGCTTTTGACTTTTATAAAAACTAGAAGCCAAAAAAAAAAAAAAGCCTTTATCCAAGAAATAGATCATGGTGAGCATAACAACAACAAAAAAATTCCTATAAATGCAGAAAATCTTCAAATTCTGATATATAATTTTGAGTTGGTTAAACGAGTTTTAGATGAGGGATAGTCTTTTCATTTTCCCACCTGTTATGTATCAAGGTACGGCCTCTATCTTTCTTGTTCTGCCCTGGGGGTTTAGTTCATAGCACAGTGCCTGACACACAGGGAGACTTCCACAGACATTTGTTTAATAAATGACGAGGGAAGGGCAGTTTTTGCAGCACTGCCCATATTCGTTGCAAGTTTTGACACCTTAATGGTGCTTGTAAGTGAAATCATCTTTTTCTAAATTGTCTTTCTAACAGCCCTTCACAGTACCCTGAACTCTGTGAGCATTTAATAAATTTGAATTTCAGTCACACTGTATTAGGAAGGCCGAAATGCATTCCATCCGGTTTCCAGTTCTGCTGAAATTAGCGGAGCTCGCCAGGTCCAGGAGCTCAGTCGGCCCGGCGCCCACAGCACAGCACAGCCCTCCAGCCCCAAACTCTCCCGCTTTTCCCGTTGGAGGCTGCAGGGAGGAGCGGAAGATCTGGGATCCGGGGAAGGCGTCGGTGTACATACCCAGCATAAATCCACCCAGGAAATATGCCAGCGCTGTAGCCAAGCACATCCAAAGCTACGGAAGACCCTGGACTTGGCCATGGCTTCCGCAGGACTGAGAGAGAAGAGCCTGCTGGCCGAGCGAGCCTCGGGAATGCTGGCGAACTAGAGCGCGCCCAGGGGATCCAAAGAACGGCCAGGTTGCTGCCAACCTCACCTGCTGCAGCCTTGCGCAAAGCCCCGCCTCCGCCCCACAGGGTGGGTCCAGAGGCGAATAGAAACTGGCAGCAAACTCCTGGCCCCTGGAGCACCCGGGCACTTCGATGGGAGAGAGGAAGCCGTGCAGGGAGAGGAGACATTCTGCTTGTTAGAAGACAACGTCCATTCTGTTGATCCTGGACAAGTCTGCGTTCCGGGGGACTACTGAAAATGTCCCTGCTTGTTCCCTGAAGAACTCTGCTTACCAGCCTCTTTCCAGGAGCTGCTGAATGTTGGCAGCCAAGTGCATTTAACTACTGCTTTTCCTTCACTGTTGATCACTCTGCTGTCGGATTCTAATTTCTAACTTGGCACATTTGGGAAACATTTCTGGTCCTGGCTGCTCCCTGATAACACGTTAGTTTCTCAACAACATATAACATCGAAACTGATGGGATTGTGTTCTTTGGTTCTCCCTTACCTGAACAAGTCTCCAAATTTCTGTAATTCTCAAGTTTCTTCCTCTGTGATTGGGGTTTTTGCCTACCTCACTACAATGTTGTAGGTTCAAATTGATACAATTAACCACTGAAAGTGCCTTGCAACATAACTTGATGGTAGGTTTTCAACAAATGTCATCTTCCCTGCCCTCCCCCCTCCTATCACATTTCCCCCAGTATTTCTTTCTGAAAGTGATTTAAAGGTTTACAAATGGTGGTCCTCTTAAATAGGATGACTCCATCCATCCATTTTACCCTGAAGGAAATCTTTAGCAGTTCCTGATGGGATTCCTCCTATCCAACCAAAAGCAGTTTGCAGTCAGAGCAAAGATGGCTGCTGAGTGGAATATGAACTGGATAGTACATGTCTGGTTATACCCCCAATCTTCGCTGCATTGTCTGAGGCCCTGATAATCTTAGTAAAGACACTTTTCTTTGTTCCTATCAAGTTGCTGGAAGGGTCTAATTTCTTTTTCTTGCACTGTAATTGTTGATAGATGTATTTGATGGTTTTTCCCTTAGCACTTCTGTAGAAGTAATGTACAATAGAAGAAATACAGGTTTCTAATAAACTTCAGACTATACTACTGAATTGGGTAACAAAGTACAGAACTCTAAAAATCTAATGGCTTCCTAAAACTGCTAACAAAAGATCAAGCTCAGCAAGAATCAATCACATTCATGATTGAATGAACTGATGAATATGACTATAATTTTTATGACTTTTTGTTTGAAATATTACTGACTTTTTAATCTTTCATTTTCATATATGAGGAAACATTTCCTCTTATGTAATGAAATATAGCAATTTGGTAAATTATACCTTTGTAAGCAGAATTGAAACATTTATACTTGTTCTCCCCCCCGATCCCTCCAGAATTTGAAAACTCTTAGTAAGTATTTGTGTTTTTATGGCAATAGTTACTTACATAAATCCACTAATAATCTGTTCTCCTTTTAAGAGGGCACAACTGGAAAAATTAATTATATTACAAGGCTTTGACTAGAATGTCACATTTTAGAATATGCATCCAATCAGACATGACCAGACAGTTTTAGGGAACTAAGATTGACTTTATGGAGACATAAAGCCCTTTGGAAAATCAGCCTGGTACCTTGCTTGCAAAGTTCCCAGAAGCCTTACCAGGTGAGAAAGTAAGGTCACTTCCTGGCAGATATAAGAACCTCAGGATATTTGGGGGACCTCAAGAAGAGAATTAACCCAAATCTATAGGTATTACAGGTGAGTCTGATGGCAAGTTCTTGGCTTGGCTGGCTGACTTCAAGAGGCTATTAAAAATTCAGTCTGGAGATTCCTTATGAAAAGTTTCAGCAAAGAGGATTTAAAAGAGCCTATGTGAAAAAAAAAAAAAAGAGCCTATGTGCTCAATTGCTATCCTTGCCAGACTTATGTAAATATTCAGGCCAAATTTCATGTAACTCATCTTATTTTGCAAATGAATTAATTTTAATTTGGCTTTCTTTGATAAAAATGAAGGTGACTATAGAGAGAAAAAATTTCTTTTTCAGTAGAAACTATAATACACTGTTTTTAATATTAGATTCTAGTTCTATTAATCATCCTTGAGATTTTGGTTGTCCACCTGAAAACCAAAATGGATCATGAATTCTTCTAGTTTCTTCAAATATTTGACTACAATTCTTCAAACTAACATTTCCAATTTTTCTCCCACTTTTGACTTGGAATCATTGAGAACTAAAGCTGCCCTTTCCCTGAAGCCCTGCTATCTGAAGCTGAACAGCTTGATATAAATGTAAGAGAGACCACCACAATAGCCCATGCTTAGGCAATCTCTGTACCTGTTGCTTTGTAAGCCACTCAGAAAGTTTACATGAACACCTAATGACATCATCAGAGACATTTCTAACTGCAAAAGATGCTTCAACCTTCAGATCTAGAAATCTTCTCAAATGGAAACTCTCAGGACTCAGTTGCTGAGTTTATATTTGTTCCAATCATTAAACTTTGTTTTACTTTTGTCTCCACAGAAATGCATCTTATTAAATACCTGACTGCTTGCACCCTATAGGCCTAACTTTGAGAGCCTACTTGCATCACTGCCTCCTGAAATGAGTAACTGACATGACCTACTGTCAGAACTAAGAAATTGGCTCAGTGAGATGAAGCAATCTATTGACTCAATTTCTGGAATGTGAAACTTCTTAAAAGAAATTTCAAAGTCAGGACTGTAGGAGAGCAAAATTTGCCACCCCAAAATGTCTCTTTGGTATGTGTACAGCCAAGGCCTCAAAGACTCAGGAATAAACTTTTACCTTCCCCCTAACTGCCGAAAAGAATGTAGATAGAGGACCAGTGGCAGGAATGGAGCTATCACCATTGATAACTATAGGATGAACCAGGTGTGGCAGACAGGGAAGAACCAGGAATAGTCTGTTAAAATTCCTCTCAGTGTTCCATTGTCTCTGCCTGGCCCAGCAAACTTTTTTTTTTTTTTTAACCGAACATTTGCTTTTCCATTTCCATGTGAAATGCCTTCCTCGCCTTTGAAGTCCCAAACCCTGAGAGTTTTAGCCATTGTTGGGAGTTACTCAAGTTTTCTGGGTCTCTCTCATGTATACATGTTAATAATGTTTGATTTTCTCATGCTTTAAAAGAAGGACTAAGTTATTTGTGAAATTTGTTTTTTCTTACTCATCTCAATTTTTATAGCTAGTAAATGTTGACTAATAGAAAAATCATTTTATTCATTAGCACAGCTTCCCAACCTGATTAATCTTCCCAAATTAAATTATTCATTTTTTCAGTATTTATTGAGTGGCTATAGCATTCCAGACATCGTAAAAAATTCTGATGATATGACCCTTGCCTTTAGGAAGCCTACAATACAATAAGAAGGCAAATATTGAATATGTAATTAAATGTAAGAAGTTCTAAAAAGGAGCAGTATTACCTTAAATGTGAAGCGTGTCACTGCCTTAATAGGTGACATCTGCAATCTTGATCTTGCCAATCCATTGTAAAAAGTCCAGTTAGCTGGTTTAGCAAGTCTTTGGACTTTTTAAAAAAATATATGGATACAAATTCAATATCTCTTCTTCTTAATTAAGCTTAAAGCAGAAGGCTGCTATCTAATTATTAGCATCTTAGAGGATATTTGTATCTTACAAAGCACACTTAACAAAGCAACATTGTTGATTTATGCCAACCCCTTTCAGTCTTTCCTTCAAAGCTAAAAAATATATGAGACTTTTAGTACTGGAAAATCAGTCTCTCAGTAAAACTATTAACACATTTGATCTGCACATTATTCAGAGCCTCTAGCAAGACAGAACTCATTATCTTCTCCATTCATAAAATTAAATTGTTCCTATATAATCTTCCCCCACCCCTTCTAACATCCTAGAAGAGGCAATCTTGTAACTTCAAAGTCAAAATCCCTTCAAATGGGTCACAGCAAGGTTTGAAAACAAAGTACCACATATGTACTAACAAAGCAGTATATGTAAATTTCTTAATAAACATACCAATAATTAAGATTCAATAGAGAAGAAATAATGTTTAGTGTCAAATTTCATGTTTTGGCTGAAGATGTTGCCTTATCTCTCATAAATGAGGAATCACCTAGATGCTCACTGTACAGATATAAACATGATGCCATTAATGATGTCACAAGGTGACAGGATGTTCTGGTCATCCAGATAGCAACATTCTCTTTCCAAAAAAGTGAAAAGTTACTGTCATGATGGCTGAGATTCATGACAAAAAATATATTCCAATTGAGTATTTCTAAAGTCCTGGGTCCAAAAACTGCCCAAAATTAGTTTCAAACTTAAGATGTGAGAATGTTAGTATATTGTACAATAAACCATAACACATAAAGCAGGTGACAAGTGAGACAGGAGTATAGTGTGAAAAGTGTAAAAGACTAATAAAAGTAAGTGAGAAGAAATTCTAAAAGAAAAGCAGAAAACCGTGATTGGATGATTTCCTCCTGATGTCACAATTATTCTACTCAACAGTAAATGTAGAAATTAGAAAAGATCCACCAAGTTAAAGTGTAAAACAGAGAGAGGGCTGCCACCCATGTCCTCCTATCAATACAGGGTGTGTGTACCATGATGCTAACATTCCAGGTGGTACCTTGGCGCTGGTAAGTTATATTTATTTGGCCTTTAAACCATGTTTTCCTAGTCAGTATTTCTCATCCCTTATAATTAACATGTATCTTCAGCCTATTTTCCATGATAGCTTGTACATAATAGTGCTAGGATCAGGGCACCACTCATGCTGTTTCTTCCAACACTCTCATCCTCTATCCTCATTTACATCCTCAGTCCCTGTGTACTTTCCCTATCATTAGATTATGAATAAATCTCTCCAGATTTTTGATCTTCCTTCTGACAGACCTTTCTCTATTCCATCTTACCTGACACCTGTTTTTACTTGATGATACCCCTTGTCCTAAAACCAGAGAAAAACCCACTTCAT